AATGGAGGCCAGTGGATGAATTGGCAGAAAGGGATGGTGGACACTGAAAGGAGGCCAGTGGGTGGACTGGCAAAAAAGGATGGAGGACACTGACCAGAGGCCAGTGGAGGGATTGGCAGAGAGGGGGGTGAAGGACACTGAGTGGAGGTCAGTGGAGGGATTGGCAGAGAGGGATGGAGGACACTGAATGGAGGCCAGTGGAGGGATTGGCAGAGGGGGATGGAGGACACTGAATGGAGGCCAGGGGAGGGATTGGCAGAGAGGGGTGGAGGACACTGAATGGAGGCCAGTGGGGGATTGGCAGAGGGGGGTGGAGGACACTGAATGGAGGCCAGTCGAGGGATTTGGCAGAGAGGGGTGGAGGACACTGAATGGAGGCCAGTCGAGGGATTGGCAGAGAGGGATGGTGGACACTGAAAGGAGGCCAGTGGGTGGACTGGCAGAAAAGGATGGAGGACACTGACCAGAGGCCAGTGGAGGAATTGGCAGAGAGGTGTGGAGGACACCGAATGGAAAGCCAGTTAAGGTACTGGCAGGGAGGGGTAGTGGACACTGAATAGCGGTCAGTGGAGGGATTGGCTGGAAAGGGTGGGAGGACATTGATTGGTTCATAAGGCAGATGAGTCAGACAACAGTATTCATGAAAGACTGAAGGAGGAGTATTCTGGGTAGAGGTCGGCCAATGAGAGGGGGGTTTCAAAAGTTGAAGCAAGCGATAACAAGGGAGTGAATGAGTACCTGGTGCTATCATTGGTTAACAAGGAGTGAAGGTTAGTAATGTTACGGAGGTGAAGGCAGCAAGATTTGATTTTGGCAGTTACTGGATGTGGGGCTGATAGGACAGGGCGTAGTCTGGGGGAGGGCAGTTCAGTTTTGAGGAAGTGGTGTGACTTCCATGATGATATGGCAGTTAGAATATTAGTGATATGTGAGGAGACTGAAGGGGTGAGCAGAGGGGTACATAGATTTGGGTGTCCTAAGCATAGAGATAGTATGGTAGTGACATGAGGTTTGGCAGGAGGAACCAATGAATGTTCCAGGGGGGCCCAAAGGAAACAACTTTTTGAAATGTCAATTTCCCAACAGACCTCACTGCAGGATTTTTTGGGAACAGAGATTGTGTAGGAGGGGAAGCTAGATACTTACATTCTTCATTTGCCGGTATCCCAGTTCCTTTGGGCCAATCTCTTCTACATGAAGAGCAATAAATACATCAGAATACTCCGGCTCCCATTTAAAGCGGTTCTGAAGCCTGAAGGTTTTTTCTACCGTCATACATTCTACGCATGATGGTAAAAAAAACCTTCAGTGTGCTGCTTTCCCCGAGCCCCCCTTATACTTGCCTGAGCCCAATCCCGATCAAGCGATGTGCACAAAATCAGAAGCTCTCCTGGGTCTCTGCCTCCTCATTGGCTGAGGCATAGCACTGGAAGCCAGCGGCTCCTGCTGCTGTCAATCACAGCCAAGGAGGAGGGGAGCAAGGGTTGGGGCTGAGCCGTGCTCTGTGCATTTCACACACACAGAGGTGGCTCTCGAGTGAGCATGCACGAATGCCCCCAGAAGAAGCAGCTTGGTCTAGGGGCACTTGGCTAGGGTGAGGGGCCTGGAGCGCCGGCGGGGATCTGAGAATAGGAAGACTGGGGCAGCTCTATGCAAAACCATTACAGGGCAAACATGACCCCGGGGTCGGGTCATTATCTACAGGGGAACAGAGGGATGAACCACGTTTCCCTCAAGGCTCCAACTATAAAGTAATCCCACCATCTGAGGAACTTTCATTACAAAAAGGACACCCCTGAAAACATGGCCTGTAATCCCCAGAACCACAGATACTCTTACATCACATCCCTTCAGTGCTCTTCCCTTCCTGAAATATCCCTTAGGACAGGCAGCGGATAATTCGAGGGAGGTGTCTGCATCCATCAGCGCCTTGGGGTAGAGCTTCAGTTGTTCATAGCAGTATGATCGATTGCCGAAATACCTGAAAAGAAAGAAGATCCAACATGGTTCACATTCCAGATAGTCATGGCGTCAGAGGTTCAAGAGTCTTCCTCTAATACTGGGACAATCGTCACACCAACAACCTTCCATCACAGTACGGCCGCTTTGCTCTGACGGGGTTTTTCAATGTGCCAAAGTCTCTCTTCAATGTCCGAGTACACTCACCGGCCTCTATTAGGTCCGCCTGTTCAATGGCTTGATAACACAAACTGTTAATCGGCCAATCACATGGCAGCAACTCAATGCATTTAAGAATCTAGACGCAGTGAAGACGACTTACCGAAGTTCAAACCGAGCATCAGAATGGGAAGAAAAGGGATTTAAGTGACTTTGAACATGGCATGGTTGTTGGTGCCAGATGGGCTGGTCTGAGGATTTAAAAAACTGCCAATCTCCTGGGATTTTCCAGCACAACCATCTCTAGGGTTATAGAGAATGGTCCGAAAAAGAGAAAATATATCCAGTGAGCGGCAGTTGTGTGGAGGAAAATGCCTTGTTGAGGTCAGAGGTCAGAGGAGAATGGGCAGACTGGTTCCAGATGATAGAAAAGAAAACAGTAAAAAAACATGAAAGCATGGATTCATCCTGCCTTAAATCAACAGTTCAGGCTGGTGGTGGTGGTGTCATGGTGTGGGGGATCCATCCTGCCTTGTATCAATGGTTCAGGCTGGTGGTGGTGTCATGGTGTGGGGGATCCATCCTGCCTTGTATCAATGGTTCAGGCTGGTGGTGGTGGAGGTGTCATGGTGTGGGGGATACATCCTGCCTTGTATCAATGGTTCAGGCTGGTGGTGGTGGTGTCATAATGTGGTGGATCCATCCTGCCTTGTATCAATGGTTCAGGCTGGTGGTGGTGGTGTCATGGTGTGGTGGATCTATCCTTCCTTGTATCAATGGTTCAGGCTGGTGGTGGTGGTGTCATGTTGTGGTGGATCCATCCTGCCTTGTATCAATGGTTCAGGCTGTGGTGGTGTCATGGTGTGGTGGATCCATCCTGCCCTTGTGTATCAATGGTTCAGGCTGGTGGTGGGGGTGTCATGGTGTGGTGGATCCATCCTGCCTTGTATCAATGGTTCAGGCTGGTGGTGGTGTCATGGTGTGGGGGATCCATCCTGCCTTGTATCCATGGTTCAGGCTGGTGGTGGTGGTGTCATGGTGTGGTGGATCCATCCTGCCTTGTATCAATGGTTCAGGCTGGTGGGTGGTGGTGTCATGGTGTGGGTGGATCCATCCTGCCTTGTATCAATGGTTCAGGCTGGTGGAGGTGTCATGGTGTGGGGGATACATCCTGCCTTGTATCAATGGTTCAGGCTGGTGGTGGTGGTGTCATGGTGTGGTGGATCCATCCTGCCTTGTATAATGGTTCAGGCTGGTGGTGGTGGTGTCATGGTGTGGTGGATCCATCCTGCCTTGTATCAATGGTTCAGGCTGGTGGTGGTGGTGTCATGGTGTGGTGGATCCATCCTGCTTGTATGAATGGTTCAGGCTGGTGGTGGTGGTGTCATGGTGTGGTGGATCCATCCTGCCTTGTATCAATGGTTCAGGCTGGTGGTGGTGTCATGGTGTGGTGGATCCATCCTGGCCTTGTATCAATGGTTCAGGCTGGTGGTGGTTGGTGTCATGGTGTGGTGGATCCATCCTGCCTTGTATCAATGGTTCAGGCTGGTGGGTGGTGGTGTCATGGTGTGGGGGAGATTGGCACTAGCAAGGTGGACCTAATAAAGTGGCCGATGAGTGTATATTCAGATAGAAAAGATCTTCCACCATCCAGTAGATCCTTGTAGTGTAACAAAAGCACACACCTAATCAAATGCGCACCCACCAGACCATAAGCTGTAACAGATACATGACACAGCAGGTTTCTCAGGGACAAGGGGAGGAACCCTTGAGAATGTCCATTTGGACGAAACTAGTCAGGGAGGAATCTCAGTGCAGACGTCATGCCCTGTATGATCCTGGTTCACATTCCAGATAGCCTTCCTGTAATACTTGTACA